GGTAAAATAAAGAAAAAAAGATAGAAAAGAACAAAATGATAGCCCAGAACGCCTCAAATGTTATTTTTTGGGTCTAGAACACAAAATGTTCGCGGGGGCATTCCCCCGGATCCCCTAGGACAGCGTTGTCTCGATCCGCCCCTGAATATACACTCATATCGTGATCATGTTTCAATGCATTTTCGTTTCTGGAACTTTACCTATCTCTATTAGGCAGTGATTTTAATGACCAGTGGTGGCGCCAGGATTTGCCCGACGGGTTCAGGGGTGGGGGCTGATTTCCCGAACGAGAAAAGTGGGTGTGGTCGGGCGTCGCTCAAAATCTCTCGAAAGTGTTCCATGGGGCCGAAAAATATGACAACTTGGGGGTTTTAAAGGCTTATTTAATCGATTTTAGGTCTACTAATATGTAGAAAATACATATACAGTTTTTTTCCTCGCCTACGAATTGCTGGTGCCACCCGGACCCCTGTGCATAACAGACAATTTTAATCACTTACATTGTTTTTTATTGCACTTTTATTTTAAGATTATTTTTTATCAAGTGAAACAAAAAGTGAAAAACCCAGAAGTCCTCAGAGGGTGTTCAAAGGGAAAAGCCCCCAGTTCCAAAAATGTAATGATTTGCAAAGCTTATTTAATCGATTTTACATTCTGTAAATATTACCGAAATGGTTTCGATCCTCCACGACGAATCGGCCAGCTCATTCCGCGGCAAGTGTTGACGAGGCGGTGGCCTCACTAGTTACAACACTGGTTAGCAGTGTATTTTAAATCACTATCAAGTACCGGTAATATGATTAGTATTCTTACCTGTGGCCAATACTGGGAATGAAAACCGAAGAATCTTCAAAAGTAAGACAACATTTAAGTAAAACTCCATTGCTGGAACTAATATCAAGCAAAACAACGGACGGTTATTTCAAAATATTAAAAATAACCCCTAGTTTACTTCCTCATAACTAAACAGTTGGGTCTCTGAGAAGTATCATGATTGCACAGCTCTAAATACAACAAGGTGGGCAAATATTGGTATGAAGGACGATCATGAATGAATTTTACCTCTTGCATAAAATACAGGCAAGCAAATTACCACGCTTTGCTGATTGCACTTTTCAAGCACGCAAGTACGCTATGTTAAAAAAGAAACGCATGAGCTAAAAATAACCCTTAGTTTACTTCCTCATAACTAAAAAATGGGCCACTGAGAACTATCATGACTGCACAGCTCTAAATACAACAACATGGGCAGATAAGGTATGAATGACGATCATGAATGAATTATACGTCCTCTTGAATAACATACAGGCAAGCAAAAAGAAACACAATGATTATGATACATTGCGAGACTCGAATTGTTATGATTAACAATTAAATCTCTGGGTTGGAAGAATATTAAGGCGTTGAGCCATTGCGTATGATGACATAATAGGTCTAGTGAATTTCTTCTTCTTTCGAAGAGTTTTCGGTGATAAAGGGCCCATTTCATGACCTGGTATCACTGCGGTTTGGAAATCTCATTTGGCGGGATGAGGAATCAGAAGCGGATCTAGTAGGGGGATGCTATATCCAGTAGGGGGAAGTGCCACCACCCCCCCCTCCCCGTTTTGCCACATACATTTTAGAAATGTTAATGCATATTAATGTTATGTGCTACTCACACATTTATTCTGAAACTGTTGTGCACCCCGTTTGAAAAATTCTAGATCCGCCCCTGGGAATAAATTGCCTTTTGTACTTTTCTGTGTTTTTATTCCTGAATGTTTTTTTTTTTCTTTTGTGGGAGTTCTACCCACTTTTACTCCATTTTTGCATTTCTCATTGACTTCAATTTCGCATTTCATAAATTGGTATAATTAGTTCTAGCTACGACTACAACTATTATTGCAACGCCTTATGCATGACTGCACAGCTAGCTCTAAATACGTACCGGTACAACAAGATGGGAAAATTACGAAGCTGTTTAAGGGACATGATGAATTTTTATTTTCCTAACCCGTACGTACGCCTTATTAAGGCGTACGTACGCCTTATAAGTCGTACGTACGCCTTATGGGTTATTAAGGCGCGCGAGTACGTACGCCTTAATAAGGCGTACGTACGCCTTATGTAACCCGTACGAACGCCTTAATAAGGTGTACGTACGCC